AATAAAAACAAAAAGCAGGACGTCTGTAAAAAAAACACGTTTATGTTCGAAATAAAGAAATAAAAAAAGCAGAGTTAATTTACAATCGATCATGATAGGAAAAGAACTATCGTCTTTTAGAGATTTTACACTATGTAGCTTTCGTTAGTCATTTGTGTAGACTCTTCAATAACCGGCACATAACCTCAGAATATAGAATGTAAACGATTTCGAAGAGCAAAAATATTTAATGTCTATCCAAGAATGATCGAAATTAACAAGATACCTTACCATTAGAAGCATGAATGCTAAGAAAAACTGATATTTTTTTGAAGAATCAGTATGCATTTCCATAAACGCCGTGAGACTCAACATAGGTGGTGCCTGTAGAATCCACTGTATTCCCGTTTTTCATACCCCACAGCCGGCATAAAGGATCATTTATTGCAAGAATCGTTCTCACGAAAAAAAGCACATTTATGAACATCTGTCAGCGCAACATCCGTTACCCATTTGAATTGATATTGGTTGAGTTGGTTCAATTGTCCTCGTTTACCGTTTCCACCAACAATGACACTTCCTTGTGTGGCTCCTTTAGGACAACGCATGATTCGATTATTCCATTCATCAGCCACATAGACAGTGCCCAATTGATCGACAACGACTCCTTGAGGACAAGACAATTGTGTAAGACCATTTCCTTCTCCTTGACCACCAGCCACGACAATGCCTTGTTTTGCACCTTCCATCCATTTCATCACACGATGATTGTTCCATTCACATACGTACACTGAATGATCTCGATCGACGAATACGTATTGTGGGCGAGAGAGTTGATCCAGACGATTTCCACTTCCATTGCCACCTGCAACCACTGTTCCTTGAGATTCTCCTCTTCGATATCGTCTCACTTCATTTTTTACATCATCAGTGACATAGAGAGATCCATTCTCGTCCATTGTCAAACCCACACAATCGATGTTGGAGATGATTGTTTCTCCACTTGTCCCATTTCGACGAGGCCATCGAACCACTCTTCTATTCGAAGTATCGCATATGATGAGACTATCTCTTTCTTTGTCGATAATCACATCATATGGGTAATTCAATTGATGATCTCCACTTCCTTGTCCATTTTCACCGGCAACCACTTGGCCACTTGTTGCACCTCGTTTCCATTCCACAATACGGTGATTCCATGTATCAGCAACATAGATTGTTTGATCATCATCAACATACAAACCCCATGGGTTTGAGAGTTGATTGATTCCATTGCCTTGTCGATTTCCTCCAGCCACAGTGATACCATTCTGCTGCCATCGAGCATTCGGATGAATGTTGGTGCTGAATGGAGAACGTAATGGATAATCTAAAATAGAGACAAGAAAAACTATAAAATGAGAGAGAGAGAACTTTTTCTTCGCGGAAATCGGATTTGCTACAACACGAGAAATCTTTTTTGGTTAAAGTCTTTAACTTTGTCAAGAGCGATCATTTTGTTTCAACTATTTTGTTGAATTAAAAGTTATTCATTGGATTTTTTTCAGTCAGCTATCCATTATTCCTTCATTTTTCTGTCAGACGAGCTCTTTGTCTGATATTCTTCTCGAGCATAGATTAAGATGAAATAGAGAGTCATGTGTATGATCGATTGTCAATGCGAGTAATAATCGAGTGTTCTTTTATGAAAACTCAATATTTGCTATTTAGACAATGCTCAATTATAGATTGTTCTATAATGACTGCACAGTTTTGGTCTCTATCCATCATTTATTATGCATATTTTCAAAGTTAGTGACTTGTTCAACCTTTTGAATTGAAATGACATTTTCGGAACAGTGGCACCGTCAATCAAAGCTTTTTCAAAATTAATCTATTGAAAAAATTTATTTCATTACTTGAACAAATTCATTCTTCGAAAAAACATTGCCTGTATTTGTTCATCAAGCACTTTCGTTTTACTGAGATCGTGGCAAATCTTGAATTATTAATACCTTTTACAAAATCTCTAATGGCTGAATTCTGTTTCTTGACGAAAATAACCTACCATACATGTTGAAAAATCAGAAATCAGAAATTTACTAGTACGAAAAATTGTAAATCATCGTAAGAAAAGCAGATATTAGACATCAAAAATTAGACATCTTGTTTCCATGATATTAGTACATTCATGGATACAGTAGTAGGTATTATTCGTTTTATTCTAATGATGCATTCCCATGGGAAAATTTTTGCCTTTGTAAGCTATTTACAAGCGGCTTAAAAAGGCTTTCGCTTCAATACGCTCCTTATTTTAGCTTAGAGAGCGGTTTTTCTAAGTGCTTTTCAGTAGTTACCATTGAAATCGCTTAAAAGCGCTGATAGTGTTCATTTTTCTAAGCGCTTTGCGGCACTTACCATGAAAATCGCTTAAAAGTGCTATAGATTTTGCTATATCTAAGCACCTTACAGCACTTACATGGAAAATCGCTGACAAGTGCTGTGTCTTTTCTTACATTTAAGCACAGCGCATGACTTGCAGCAAAAAGCGCTGCTCAGTCAAACAAGACTATAGAAGAAAAACGTAAAAACGCGTTAAAAGGGTGAATGTGGATGTGAGTGTATGTATGTGAGTATATATGGGTGGACTAAGAGCGAAGGAACACCCACACGCTAAATATACTTGCTATAGAGATGAATGTTATGGGTACTATGTATTAGAATATATTTTAATATTAAGAAAGAGAGAAATAGTTGCATAACAAAAAGACCGAACACAGATGAATTAGATCGAGTTTAACCTAATTGAAAAAATCGTTGACTAAGGTTGACAGGCTATCGATGATTTATGTTGAGACAGCGACTCAGTTAAGTTTTCCTCTGTAGCGATTTGGCATAAGATGCCTTTTCATTTTTAATAAAACTTTTAATGATCCATAGTTAGAGTATTATTTTTATAATATGTTTAATTTATTCAAAGAATTAAATTTGAAAAGAACAAAATAGTTCGTGTTTTTTATTGCTTTCACATTACTCGACTCCATTTTTCTTTAGTTATTGATTTTTTGCATAGGTCACCAAGAAATGTTCATTACTCTGTTCCAAATAACAGTTCGAATATGAATACATTCGCTCAACGAATAATAAACTTTAATAATCTTAGCTTCTTTCGTTCTCTTCAAAAATAATTCGCGAATATACAGATAGCAACCATTGTCTTTCATGTTTATTGTCTCCTGCTTTTGTATATAAATATTTTCCTATCTTCTGCTTTTTCAACAATCAAACGAATGTATCGT